CGAGTGATTTAGCGCACAACAAAGTAGAAAAGTCACAAAATCAAAGTTGTATTTTAGCAGCAGGCTATAGTTTTTGACTTTTTTAAATCATGCTACAACTTAGCATTATTGTAGTTATTATGACTGGCCACTGGTACTGCCACGTGGCCGACCTACGGTAGCTATTGACCCACCTCAACTGAAGCATAAGCCGTAGAAGACGAGACCTTGGACAAATTCCGAGGCCAATTACTCATTCCGAGGTGGGCTCCCCAAAGCGGATCAAGTTGCGGATCAAGTTTGAGGCTCTACCCCGGGTAGGGACGGCCCATGTTTTGAATTTATTATGAAATGATTAATGTGACCTTCGTAAAAATATATTTGTGTCTTGTCTTTTCAATAGAATGTAAGAATATTAAATGCATTGTAAGCTAGGAATGTCAAAGGGATGACTGAGATTAGATGTTTAGGCTAATGAGATGAGGTCACGTGTAATTTCATCTGAGAAACGCGAGATTCAACCCTATTACTCCTAGAGGGGGGTGATTAGGTGTAATTGCGGAATTAATATTTAATTAACCTGCAACAAGTCACAAGTTAATTATGTCTAGGAGATTAGTCAAACAATTCAATTTGTCCTATCTTGAAATACCGTAGTAATGTCAAAACAGTAAATAAAGTAATAAACAACACCATAATTGTTCACGGAGAAACCCAACGTGGGAAAAATTTCGAGCACTTTGCCAGTCAAAGATCCACTATAAACTGCCAATAAAAGTTACAGACTACCAGCAAAGTTGACAACACAAGCTTTCTGATCTCTTGTCAGAAGTATGAAGCAGCCTTCTTGGAATGTGCACACCAACACCAATCCTGACTCTTCTTTGTAAAGCAGTCCTCCAGGAATGAGCACACGAATTTCAATCCTGACTCTTTACGTAGTTTATCACCTGTAGATCTTCCCGAAGAACTTCTTGTTCTTCAAACTCGTCATTGATCTTTAATACAGCACAGTTGACGACACAATCTTTAAGTAAAGAATGCAATCCGGTGTTTGATTTGATAGTTTTGATGTTTTCGCAATGATTGGCACATGAACAATGGAATGATTAAACTTGATTCTAGNGATCTCTTGTCTGAAGTATGAAGCAGCCTTCTTAGAATGTGCACACCAGCACCAATCCTGACTCTTCTTTGTAAAGCAGTCATCCTAGAATAAGCACACGAATTTCAATCCTGACTCTTTACGTAGTTTATCACCTGTAGATCTTCCCGAAGAACTTCTTATTCTTCAAACTCGTCATTGATCTTTAATACAGCACAGTTGATGACACAATCTTTAAGTGAAGAATGCAATCCGGTGTTTGATTTGATAGTTTTGATGTTTTCGCAATGATTGGCACATGAACGATGGAATGATTAAACTTGATTCTAGTTAAGCATATATTCTCCTTGAATATTATGATGTTCAATCTCTTTCATAGAAAATACAGCGCCTCAATATATAAGTTGAACGAAATAGGTTGTATGTGCCAAGTAAAAATTTCGGAAATATAAAAATAGGTTTCCCAAAATAATATGTCGCTCGAGCAAAGGATCTGTCACTCGAGCGACAGTGAGACGAAAGTCGAGCGAGTTAGTTTTTGTTTCGGTCGCTTGAGCAACACTCCGACGAGCAGCTAGCGAAAATTTCGGCGTGAATCCTTCTTATTCCAAACATAACACCCCAAATCCTAAGCTAACCTACCNTTCCAAACATATAATCCCAAACCCTAAGCTAACCTACCAACTATGAAACTTTACAATTTAGTCCATAAACTATTAAAAATGTTCAAGTTGGTCAATTTATTCACAGAATCGTCAATACAAAATATAAACCTAACATTACCAAAGGGTTACCATCTGGTTTGTAACACTATAAAACCTCATCCCTGTAACCATTGAAGGATGATGCAACTCCTAATACAAAAGAGCAATTTATCTTCTTCTTATGCATGTTAAGTTTCAGTCTTTTACCTTGATTTCATCGTGATTGGTCATTATTGTACAATCGTATCGTGTTTACTTCGCCGGAACCCTAACGGAAACGTCTCGTATCGTTGAGTTTTCTCTCACATCCAATTTAGAAGCAATCTCGATCGTCGATCTGTCATTACGTGTCGAAATTAGTTTGCGCGTGCACGAGTAAATCCGACATCTGTTGGCACCAAATTTTGAGGTCAACAGTATTTTTTTAAATCTTAATCAACTTTTCAAAAGGCTTGTGAAATGGGCCCTTATAGTTGTAAAATGACAGCAAAATTTCATATATAAGAGATTAAGTATGACCAATTTCAAAATTAAAAAACAAGGTTTAAAATTTCAAAAATCAAATATTAATTAAAACTTATTTATGAAATAGTTAACTAAAAATCTATTTTATTAAATAAATATATCAATGTCACAATTTTATACTCTTTGGTCCCAATTATCAAATTAATTGGTCATAAAATATTTCTCTGTCACGAATCAAAAATTTTATAAGTCATAAATTATTTAACGGTCATAAATCAAAAATTTTATTGGTCACAATTTATTTATCGATCACAAATCACAAATTTTATAAGTTACGCTTATTTCATGACCATAAATTATCAAATTAATTAGTCACAAGTTATATCTCAATCACGACTTGATAAATTATGAATCATGATCACATTTTTTAAGTCACATATTTTTTATTAAACAAATTAACCACCCACCCACCCACCTACCCACCCAAAACTCCGGATAAGCAGAACAAAAGAAAACACCCAAAAAACCACCCCCAAAATATGTCAAACCATGCAGCAACCCTTCACGGCGGCAATCAACACAAATCACAAACTACTCAACGTCACTCGGTGCCGCCCGTCCACAGATCGCCATGGCGTAGCGATGCCGCGTTGCAATACAGCGCTTTGCGGTACGATTGCGTGTAGTGGTGCTACACATAGCGAAGCTAGCGTCGTTGCACGCCTGCCCATGCTGCTGTCCACACACACACACATATATAGAGAGAGAGAGATGATTAGGGTTCGAAAAATTTAGTGAGGGTGGAAGGAGGTAGGGTGGGTGATAAGTGTGTTTTTACACA